CGACTTCATCCCTTCTCCAAAGGCTTTTCCAGGAGGTCCCACCAAACCTCCCCTTCCCTTCAGGTCCATCCCAACACGGATCCCAGTCCCTGCTCCACAACTTCATCCCTTCTCCAAAGGCTTTTCCAGGAGGTCCCACCAAACCTCCCCTTCCCTTCAGGCCCATCCCAACACAGATCCCAGTCTCTGCTCCTCAACTTCATCCCTTTTCCAAAGGCTCTTCCAGGAGGTCCCACCAAACCTCCCCTTCCCTTTGGGTCCATCCCAACATGGATCCCGGTCCCTGCTCCACAACTTCATCCCTTTTCCAAAGGCTTTTCCAGGAGATTCCACCAAACCTCCCCTTCATCCCAGCACAGATCCCGGCCCCTGCCCCTCGATTTCATCCCGTTTTCCCCCCGTTCTCCCCCCAGCTCTGAGCCGTCCCGCCCCGCCGCCGCTATGGGAGACTCAGGCGCGGATCCCGATCCCCGCCGGGGGCCGGGCCCGGATCCGGCGCCCCAAGGGAACAACGGGGGGACGTCCCTGAGCGTCATCTCCGAGGGCGTGGGCGAGCTGGCCCTCATCGACCCCGAGGTGGCCCAGAAGGCCTGCGAGGAGGTGCTGGAGAAGGTGAAGCTGCTGCACGGGGCCGTCCCCAACGGGGACGCCGGCGAGGGCTGCGAGATCCGCTGCCTGGACGAGCCCCGCATCCGCGAGGAGGACGAGGAGGGCGCGGCCAACACGGTGAAGACGGCGCGGCGGCGGCAGAAGAACAACTCGGCCAAGCAGTCGTGGCTCCTGCGGCTCTTCGAGTCGAAGCTCTTCGACATCTCCATGGCCATCTCCTACCTGTACAACTCCAAGGAGCCCGGCGTGCAGGCCTACATCGGCAACCGGCTCTTCTGCTTCCGCCACGAGGACGTGGACTTCTACCTCCCGCAGCTGCTCAACATGTACATCCACATGGACGAGGACGTGGGCGACGCCATCAAGCCCTACATCGTCCACCGCTGCCGCCAGAGCGTCGACTTCTCGCTGCAGTGCGCGCTGCTGCTGGGGGCCCTCTCCTCGGACATGCACATCTCCACCCAGCGCCACTCCCGCGGCACCAAACTGCGCCGCCTCATCCTCTCCGACGAGCTCAAGCCCAGCTCGGCCCAGGGGCAGCAGCGGCGCCGGGAGCTGCCCCCCTCCTCCTCCTCCTCCTCCTCCTCGGTGGTGGGGGCGCCGGGGCCGGGCCAGGACGGCACGACGGGGCTGTCGCCCTCCAAGAGGACTCACCAGAGGTCCAAGTCGGACGCCACGGCCTCCATCAGCCTGAGCAGCAACCTGAAACGCACGGCCAGCAACCCCAAGGTGGAGAGCGACGAGGAGGTGAGGCCGGGGGGGCGCAGGGCTGAGTTTGGGGGCTGCAGGGCTGAGTTTGGGGGC